CAGTGGCAGCATGTCCGGGAGTGGCTCAGAAAGACAAAGGTCTCAACCAACCTGAAGAGGCTGCCATGGATCAGCCTCCTGATGCTCCCCTCCTCGGATGCAGGCCACGGCCATCCTCATGACTGGGCCAGTTGCCATGGCAACTCAGAAGAGGAGCCTTGGTTCCCAAGGAAGGCTGTTATGTAATAGCACAGCTGGCCTGGCCTGGCCAGTGGTGGGGGGCCTAGGCGCTGCACTCTCCTTCCCCACGGGTAGAAGAATGAGGGGTGCACAGGCGGGGGCAGCCCGTGGTTCTCCCCACCCCCTCCTCCCAAAGCTGGAGAGAGGAACTGCTCCCCTGCCTGACTGCCTGCCTGCCTGCCTCCAGCCCAGCAATGCCGGACGGTGACCTTTGCCTGTCTGGTGTGGATCGGTGCCTGCTCGACCTCAGGGATGGCAAGAAGGCGGTGGTGGAGCTCCCCTTCCAGGGCCCGGTGGGCAGGCGGGCGGGCCGAGCTGCCTTTCGCCCACTGGAGGAGCGCCCTGGAGCCCAACGCCACCCTTCCAGCCATGCTGGGGTCTGGCAGGGCTAAGACGGAGCTTGCTCTTCAGTCCTCACCGTGAGGGAGGGGGAGGGAAAGGGACTGCAGATATTCTTTGCACATGCTCAGAGACGCTGGGCTTTATTACTGCAGCACATCCCAGAGTCCTCCTCTGAGCCTGAAACAAACCGGAGCTCTGGATGATGTTAGGCTGGTGTCAGTCAAGGGTGAGGCGATAGGGTTTGTTACCTCAGAAACAGAATTCGTATCACGCTGCTTGTAAATATGGTCCACCATTTCAAAGGAGAGTCAGAAATGATGCCTGCAGCCTTCTTGCCAGGTAGGCCAGTGGCCTTCTCAGCCGATCTGCCTACTGAAGGGAGAGGGTTGCCTGGAAGGGCCTCCTTTTGGCACGGTCAGCTTTTACCCTCCCCTCACTCCTTGGCCAAGGAGTCGGTGAGCAGGCGGGCAGGTGCTGCGCTTCAGCCGTCCTTCTGCCTTGGTTCCCCTCCCCGGCTTGCCCTTCCCACTCCATTTGGACCCCTTCCCTGAACTGGTGCCACTGGCTGGCTGGGGGATCCCAGGCAGAAGGGCCCCCCCCTGCTCAGCTGACTCCCAGGCTCCTCTGTACACACACACGCACACACAGAGAGAGAGAGAGAGAGAGAGAGAGAGGGAGGGAGAGAGAGAGCTGATCTCAGTAACTCAACTCTCTCT